GAGAGACTTGGACAAGTTATCATATTTCGATCATTGGAATCTGGGGTTACTCGGCTCCGAAATCGAAGTAAACTCATATGGGATTTGATTCGAGATTCTATGTGCCTAGTATGAGGTCGCCAATCGAAACGTTGATCGAATACAACGCCTAGATATCGAGCAGATGCTTGAGGCTTAATTGTTGTATCGCCAACAGTGAGGTTTATAGGGTTTTTATGTCATTTTGGTGGGCATCCGAAGATATACCTGCTAGCCCCCACGATCCACATGGTTCCGCGCCTCTGAAGTGATTGAAAAAGTCAAAGCAGGTTTTAGAATTTTCCACTGAAGCACTGGTTTTTAAAGAAACCATCGAACAACTTTTTGAACTGCAAGTTCAGGAAGTGTGTCTTGGCGCCCCAAAACAGGCAATCTCGATTTTTTATTAAACAAAATTGGAACTACCTTCGGGGAAACCGAGAATCCTGGATTTGTCAAACACTGGAAAAATTATACTTTTTTTCACACACAAAAAAATATCTTTGGGAACATGGAATTATTCAACCTACGAAAAGATATTTGTTAGGAAGTATAAAATAAATCTCATATCAGCAGTTGTCATCTTTCAAATATACATGTTCTCTTCACTCAATTTTTTTTCCCTTTCTGTTCTTCTGTTATATGTATTTACTTTCATGCTTTTCTATGACGAATGTTTTCTCTTTCTGTTCACTCTTTTCGCTGGGTATTTTTCATTTCTATTCTTCTCTCTCTCTCACTCTCTCTCTCTCCCTTGTACAATGTGTGTTTTCCCAGTTTCCCTAAGAGATCTTTTTGTTGTGGAAATATACTATATATAGCTGTTAATTTGCTGAAATAAAGTATGTGTCACAATTACATTCTTCTTTGGCTATTAACCACTGGATACAAAACGATTCCGAACGGAATAACCTCACATATTTTTGATATAAATGAAAATTTTTGAAATTTCAGGATCCACAACAAACTTGCTAAAATTCTGCTAGTTTACAGAATTCTGTAAAAGAATCAGTAGTTAACAATATAAAACAGTCTGTTATGAAACGACAAAGTTCAGAGCAAACTAACATTTAAAATAATAACATTTTAAAATGAGACCATAGAGAGAAGTCCTAGTTATGAAATGGCATATTTTTAAACCAATTATCTCCTGGATCTGTCTCAAAACTGGTCGGAGATTTTTACGTGAGCGTGAAGAAAAACGTTCGGTCTACCACCGTGTTCAATAGCAAGCTTTTCCTATCAAAAACTGTCAGGAAATGACAAAAGCAGAACGAAAATATCCAAGAGTGTCTCTAATTACCCTGAAGTACTCTATGTGTCACGAAAGATTGAAAAATCATTCTAAAATCACTTTAGCATAAAGTCCTAAAAACGGCCTAAAAGCAGTCAGTTAACTGGTCGTTAATGGCCTATTTATGGTCAAAAGTATCTCTACCATCAGTGTGTCTCGCTAAACCGAGGAAAAGTTTTGAAGTCTTTAAAGTACTTTCTTAAAATGAGTTTTACCTCACTTAACTTTCAGCTTTTTCCTCACAGGTTCATGTATTTCGTCTTCCATGTGTAAATGCAATCGAAGTTCATAAATTCTCTGCCTGAGACGTTTGATCTCCTTCTTAGGATAAGGTTGTTGTTGTTGAAATAAGTTCAAGGATTCTTTAAAGGACAGAGTTGCTAAGTGTTTATCGTTGAAACAAAGGTAGATCAAGCCGTAAACTTCATAAATCCAAGCATAGAATGAATATTGGTACTTTTCGATCGGAAAACTATCTTTTAATACAGCTATAGATTTATCACAATAGATCCATGCCATTTCATAATTGTTCATTTGATAATGGAGACATGCGAATGTGGCGTAGAAGGGCGCATAGCTAGAATGACCCTCGCTTTCCAAACATTCCTTATAAATTTTTAATGCTTTGTCACAATAATCAAAGCCCAATTGAGTATCTTTTAGATGACAGTAATTCCAAGCAATACTAGTGTAGCAATCGGCGATGATTGACTTATTTTCTGCATAGTTCTTTGATTTCATTACCACTAACTTTTTATAATGTTTTATAGCTAGTCGATAATTTTGTTCTGGACCACTACTTTCGTATATTGTTGCAAGGCTAATGTATGCATCATTAAGCAAAGACCGCTTAGCTACTTTTAAATCTAAAACCGTTTGGTAATGAGTTAAAGCGGTTGTGTAATCGAACAGTTTTTCATGACAGCCAGCAATTGAATGATGAGTCTGTGTTAGATCACACAGAAGCCGTTTTCTATTGGAGTTGCTGGACTCTGGAGAATCGGAGCAGTCAGCGGCCAAGCTTTGATTTTGCAATGTCAATACAACCTTATAGTGATCTATGGCCGACGAAAAATCATTTTTTTGCTCATGCAGGCAAGCCAGTGACTGGTGAATCTCTGATCTCTGTTCTCTGCTGGCTTTATTGGATTGAACTAATAGATCCAACTGCTTACTGAGATGTTCTATTGCCCTAGTAAAGTCGTGCTTCTCCGCATACATACCACTCACTTGCTCATGTGTGCTAGCTAAATCTTCTTTCGTAGTCAATGTTGGATATTGATTATCCACATCAAATATACGTTCCAACCATTTGATAGCCAAGTCAAGAGTGTCGGTAGCAGCGTATTCTGCACCGATTGTTGTAAGTACACGTACTATTTTCGCTACTCTGCTTCCCACGTGAGAATTATCATCTTCGAGAGCTAATGCCTCGCTCGAAACTTTGTAACTTTCTTCATAATTATCTATTCGTTGATAACATTCAGCAAGTCTATCGAGTGTATCTATCTCTCTAGTTTCAAGTACTTCCTCGGGATTTGCTCTCCTTATAGCAAGTGATTTGTTTAAATGTTTTATAGCTAAATCGTATTGCGTTGTCAGTATATACAAATTTCCAATTACGCTATGAATCTGCCCGACACTTATCTTCCCTAATAATGGAGTCATACGTTTTTCACAGATTTCGGCTGCTTTCTTAAAATATTTCAATGAATTCGTAAGATCTTCTTTATCCGAGTAACATTTGCCAAGCCACATATTAATGTCAAATGCTGTTCCATCATCTTTCCATGGTTTCTCTTCCAGTTGCAGACGTTTTTTAGAGTATTCAATACATAAATCTAAGTTTCCTCGTTCGTAGTAAACTCCTGATAACAGATGGAATGGATAGGTATAGTGTGAGTGGTTAATCGGTAAATACTTTTTGTAGATTTCTATAGCTTTAAAGCAATAATGTAGAACTTTATCATACTCTTTAATGTCTGAATAGAGTGAAGCTACTGAACAGTATACGACACCTATATCAGGATCAAAGTCATCTTCATTTAATAAATTCATTATCTCCAGTGCCAATTGGAAGTGTTTTGCTGATAACAGATAATCATTTGTCGATAGGTAAACCTTACCCATTCCATAATGTAGAACTGATAAGGTTTCTAAATGATCTTTATCTTCTACGAAAAGTTTCAGTCCCTTCTCAAAAAACTTAAGAGCAGTTTCGTAATCGTCTTTGTGTAAATAAATTAATCCTAAACGATATTGACAATCAGCTTCATTAACAGCTGAGGAATTACCTTTCAAAATAAGTTCGGTGTATTTCAAAGCATTATCCAATTGACCAACGCCAAGACACGCCATAATTAAATTAGAGTATATTAGATCAGCATCGTCCAGAAAGAATGTCCGCCCAGCTTGACTTTTTTTGACTTGCAGCCTGTGGGAAGTTGTATAACTTCTTGTGCTGAATATCTGATTCGAACGCTTTCATATTTGATATCTTCGTCTTCGTTTATTGATTGCACCTTCAATAAAGCTTCATGGTGCAAAATAGCTTTATTGTGCAGCCCTACCCTAGTTAGCAGAAAACCAAATTCGATATTCAGATGATCGGCGTCCTCAATATGTTGCAATTTTTCACGATGATTTTTAATGAAATCATTTCGATCATAGAGTTTATCAATGTCGTTTTCGACAGTTAATTTGATAGTGTATAGTCGTCGATCCACGTCGTAATTGATTGACTGAAAACGAAATATCGTTCCAAGATCAAACAAGATCTCCTCTTCGTCTTGCATAAAGCTTAATTGCGATATGTCGGCAAAGATTACATTATCTAGATTACCTAGGGTAACATCCTTAAAGGACTTTCAGTGAAAGCGGGAAGCGTGAGATCGCTCAAAAGGAAAGAAAAACAGACAACGAAAGAGGCGGTTCGTTCAAACCCAAGATTTGTCTTAAAAAAAATTAATGGAAACGCTACTTTTTTATGCAAAACCTAGATCGGTCCAATTTCACTGCTAATGTCACATCAGACTGCCGTTTTCTCACTATACGATATCAGTGTTTGTGGAATAAAGCAAACCAGCCGATATGAAAGTTAAAGTCATTGCACATCGGTTGCTCAGTAGAATTCTGTCGCAGATTTTGCTTTGTTTAGAAAGTTTAGTCAGAAGCTATTGCATCCGAAAATAACGATGGTTGACTTGCGTTCACTCATATTCGTACACTAAAAATGAAAGATGAGTGCAGTTCTGCGGAGTAATCATACACTCTTTACTAAGAGGAAGTTTCAATTTTTAGAAGGCTAAGTTTGAAGCCGTTATTTTAAACACTTGTACTAGAGAAAATAAGAAACAGTTTTGCTGGACTTCCAGATCGAAGGAGCGTCAGACAAAGCTGGAGAAAATCGGATAAGCCAATGACGGCGAGAAATAAGGTTGATTTTTTCTCGGACGGCCTTCATAGGTACTCCTTGCATATTAATTTCGAATATTACATTCGCTGCAAATGCTACTGCTACAGCTAATGAAGGAGTAGTTGACAAGAACCCATTTGTAGCCAGCAAGTTTCCTTCATTTCCCTTTAGTTGTTCGATCTCAATATCACTTAATCTCAAGCCACGATAGAGTGTTCGATTCGTTCGCTTTGCTTTCTGTTCATCGCTTGTTTGCTTCAAAAGAGCACAGAGATCGGTGACAATATAGCGTAATTGCATTAACGCATCAATATCTTGTGTCCTAAGTGCTCTGTTCACAATACGATAAAGAAATGAATCACGAGTGTACCATGTAATTGCCTGAGGAGATGCATAAATTTCTTCAAATTCGTCAATCATTTCCAGCTGTTTCGGATTAGAACGGTACTGGTATCGACAGCAAGCTAACATTTCTTTTTCAGTAGTCTCTGTAACTGGCATTTTAAAGAGAAAGTCTTTCAGTAATTGGTACCATAAATATCCTCCTGAATCGTTTGAAAGAAGACGAAAAGCTTTTGGTTTCTGACTGAATATTCGAAATTTAATCAGTATACGTAATTGTTTTTGAATTACGTCGAAGAGTTCTTTATACTGTGTATAGATACCGACAAGTTTTGGATACTTTTTAGAATCAATTAAAGGCTGATATTGTTGCGATTTTTTACAAAAAATATAAACAGAATCAATATCATCTTTCCCATGAAACGTAGAGAGCGTTTCTTGAGCTAGTTGACCTGACACGATTAAAATAATTTTTTCATTCACATTCTTCTCCACCTCCTCTTTGAGCTGTTCGGAAGTGTAACACAGATAGTTGCAATCATTTGTATTGTCCATTAGAGTTTGAATTTCAATGTCAATCTTCTGATCGTACCAGATAAGAGTAATGTCCTCACCAGTTTTGGTATTCAAAATATCATCTGCTTCTTTTGATTCATCTTTGGAAATGACACGATCGACGGACACATCCATGTTCTGGCTAAAGATCAAGAAAATTTTCATCGAGTGAAAGACACCGTATCATAATTAAAAGCCAGACACTCAAATAGAGTTATGTTAACTTTTAGACAGTTGTCCATCTCGTCACGAAACACAAACGTTATGTCATTAGTGTTACTTGAACCTAAGTATAATAGACAAGCCTAGTGAGCCTCTAATTTGTCCCAAAAAAAGATCTACACTGGACTTTAAGTGAGGTCAACTTTACTTGTTCGAAATCAAATTGCACCTTTTCCGTGATGTGAGAATGTGCTTTCGATCTAATCTGGCTAAATTCATGCAGATCTTAGAGAAACAGGTAATGTGTCAGCCAGATCAGTGTGGAATTAGACGAACTGGTGTTGACAGGGAGCGCTTAGACGACATGAGCCTCTAACTTACTTTTCGCGTAATTCATAAGCATTTGGACGGACTTGTGGTAGGGCATGTGCTATAGGATGGATTATATGAAGTCCTCAAGTTTATAGAAAACACCAGAAAAGCGTTTTTTGTTCAAAAGAAACTACTTCCTTACTCACCTCGCGCTCATGCGTTTTTGTTTTCGCTAAATACACCTAACAGGTTTACAACCTTTCTTCTTATTTGTTTGAGATATCGTTTATATCATTTTTAAAAAATACGTGAATAATCGTATTTCTCTACTTTCTCTAAAAAAATAAACTTTACGTTCTCTTCCTCTTTCTCTTTCCATGTTCTTTATATTAAAAGAGAAAACAGAAAGAGAACGTAAGGTATATTTTTTAGACAAAGTGGAGAAACACGATTATTCACGTATTTTTTAAAAAATGACATAAACGATATCTCAAACAAATAAGAAGAAAGATTGCAAACCTGTTAGGTATATTAAGCAAAAATAAATACGACAAGTCGATCTATCCATTTATAAAGAGCTGCAAACAACTCGTCTTTGTTTGAAACCGAACCAACCTTGGTTCGGAAAACTCACAGCCTAACTGATTAGTTACCGATATCGGTTTCAAAAAGTTGGAATGAGCCCATGTTGGATTTTCTAATTGAAACTTGCAAAAAATTCTATACACCTAATGAGAACTGCTTCGTATTTTGAGCAAGTCTTTTCTATGACAAAATGTCTACGATCTCTATGGAAGATCCTGTATAGGGTGCAATATGACAAAGAGTTCTCAACGTTGTTTGAGACAGGAGAGTCTGAAGTATTTATACTTTTAACTGAGTCTTCTTCCTCTGTATACTTCTTGGAAAATATTTATAAATAAAAGCACATCTATATATATAAAGAAGAAAGTTTGTTTGTATGTTTGTTTGTTCTCTATGCATTCAGTCCCTGTAAGAGCTAAAGCAGCCAAAATTTGCATGGCACACCCTTGGGTCCAGGGGAAGGTCAAGAGG